CATGCCTACCTTGGTGCCCATAGCACGTACAGGCCGCATATAGATCTTCCTGTTGTATGTTCTATACACGCTAGATCTATGTCTGTACGTGAAGAGCCTCGGCTCTCTATGGCACCACCAACGTAGTTCTTGGTCGCGCGAGCAACTATTAGCTGGTAAGCAAAAAAAACTTTTTCATTCCAACCTGTTCATTTCTTATTTTAGCTCATCTCAATTTCATCAACAGCAAAGTAAATATAATTACTTTCACTTATTTTATTCCAAACAAATAAAATTAATTGTTACTTTTTATGTTTTAGTTCCATTAAACAATTCAATTCAATCCAAACGAAAATAGTTACAGCTATTTATTTTTCTTGTGTAGTTTTTTAGTTTTTTGTAACTTCCGTTTTTTTAATTTTTGAAATAAACATTATTAAAATAACTCAAATTTTTTCTCTTCATTTCAATCATAATTATTTTCATTTCAACAATAAATATTTTTATGTTAACAATAAATAATTTCAAAATAACTCAAATTTTATTTTACATTCAAATAATACAAAATTTTATTTTCATTGAAGTCATAAATATTTTATGAAAATAATACAAATTTTATTTTTTTCGCTTAAATCATAAATATTTTCAAAACGACAATTTATTTTTTTCACTTTAATAATTAATATTTTTTGCGAAAAATAATTTTTATTTAATTCATTTCTTTTCATTTAACAAATAAATAAATAAATAAATAAGAGAAGAAGAAGAAAAGAAACATATGACATAATTTTATATTTTGAGTTTTTTTCTTTTCTTTGAAGCGAAAGAGTAAAAGAAAATTTCTTTCATTTCTTCATTTATTTCAAAGTATAGAAAAAGAAACGAACAAAGAAAAAACAATTCAAAAGTCTTATTCGATAGAAAATCGTTGAACACGATTATTACCTGCATCGGCGACATAGAGATTACCTTGTCGATCGCAACACAAACCAATGGGGAAGTTGAATTGATTTGCTCCTTTTCCTTCGCCATTTCCACCCACAATTACAGCGCCTTGTATCTCGTCTCCTTGAGTCCAACGCATTACACGATTATTGTGCGAGTCTGCTACATAGAGTGTACCCAACGTATCAACGAAGAGTCCATTAGGATAATACAACTTTGTCGGAGCATTCCCTTTGCCTTGCCCTCCAGCGACCACAATACCTTCTTTTGCACCTTCCACCCATTTCATCACACGATGATTGTAGTAGTCTGATACGTACACTGAATGATCTCGATCGACAAAGAGATATGTCGGCACGTTGAGTTGATTAAGACCATCACCTTTGCCATTACCACCAGCTACGAGAGTGACATTCTTCTCACCAAATTGATATCGTCTTACTTCATGTTTTTCGGTGTCAGAAACGTAGAGATCTCTCTGTTCATCCATTGCTAATCCATAACATTGGATGTTGCTGATGAGGATTTCTCCTTGTGTTGTATCACTACGACGAGACCATTGTACAACCCGTCGATTCCATTGATCACAAATAATGAGACTATCCGTCTCTTTGTCAATTAATACATCAATTGGCCAATTCAATTGATGTAATCCATTTCCTGCGCCGTTGCCACCAGCAACAACTTGTCCATTCGTTGTATCACCGTTCTTCCATTGGGTGATACGATAATTCGACGTGTCAGCTATGATCACTGTTTGATCATCATTAACAAAGAGACCTCGAGGGGAGTAGAGTTGATTAGTAGTATCCCCATCCTCGTTACCTCCAGCAACAGTCACTCCGTTCTGTGTCCACGTGGCATTAGCAGAAATATTAACTACAAGAGAAAGAGTAAGAATAAAATGAGATCTCTCTCTATCTCTCTCTCTCTTTCTCTAGTATACCCAGTATATGCAATAATTTCGAAAGGATCGAGTAAAATTCTTTGAATAGATCGTTCTCTCTCTCTAGCGTACTTAAATTCTATATTTTTTTAGAAAATCAAACTTAAATAATTAAATCTAGTTAACCCAAGCAGACATTAAAAAGTCATTCAATCGGAGTTTCAAGTGATGAACTCTATTTATTTACTTTTCTTTCTTTTGTGAAAGTAGAACATATTAAACGATCCAAAAAATGGCATGCAAAGAGCATATCTTGAGGGTGTGGGTGTATCGCGTGATAATTAATCGAAACTCTTGCGAGTAGTACAAGCAAGAATGTTTTGGACAATACCAACTTGTAATAATTTATTCAATAATGAGTTTACAATAAAACAAGTTAGCAATATTGCGCTGCTAATAATAGGGTGCGCATGTTTCTCAATACAAGTCAGATCTAACTATTTACATTCTAATAAACTATTTCTTCGAAAAACAATTCAAATTTTAACTACTCTCTGACTTATAATACTGCTCTTTCCCCCAAATGTATCGTGAGCTTATATAATAGAGAGAGAGAAAAGATTACGTACTGTTCAGTACGCGATTATGTGTTAATGTCATATACACAAGGATGTAAACTTAGTTACGTCAATGCGATATGTTTATTAGCTCCTCTATGATTTATAAATGGAGGTCTGGCGGTTTCTATAGCTCCCTATTCAATCTAGCCCTTCATGAGTGACGTATTTCTTGGCACAAATATATTATCGAGTAGTATTTTTATCTTTAAACTTGAGTATCACATTTTGCTTCTTTCCCTATCACGAAAATATTTTTAAGTCTTTAAATTATTTTCTAGTTTACAGTGTACTGTAGAAAAATTATTCTGTGGCATTAGATGGAATATTAACTAGAAGAGGAAACGTAAGAAGAACTAATTCCATACAGATATCTTAATCGAAATTGAAGAAGATTTTCCAAAAGTTAGAAAACTTCAAAAGAATTCAACTATTCAAAGAGGAAAAAAATAGATGAAAGGAAAATGTCTTTCTACTAGAATATTCTTTACAAGGAAATTTCTCCCGATTCTCAATAAATCTGATCCAGATTCATTGCAGAAACACAAATATATATATATATATATACATATGAGCGTGCTCCGCCATAGGAGGCCCCAACTTCTTTTTTGCTCATATATGAGCAAAAAAGAAGCTGGGGCCTTCTATGGCAGAGCACGCCCATAATATATACCCAGGTCGTTCATTTCTACAATCGGATCCAATCGGATCTGAAAATGGATTGCATCAGATCTTACATGAAAACCGACAAGAACCAACAGATTGCGGGTTTCTGGCCGAGATTCAGATCCATAGGATCGGAATCCGATATTATCCGATCGTATCCTACTCCGGGATCCGATGCGCCAAAAAGTCTGCTATACTCAACTTCTAAAAAGCTCTTTCGCATTAAACAGAATTTTGATATTTTTTTTAATTCTTCCGTCATATCCATCAATAGTCCCGAAACCCTGAATCCAACTGGATTTCCTCGGTTATTAGGATGTTTTAGGATCCGATAGAATCCGTCGTCGGATTAGTCGACCTGAGTATGCTAAAAACCTGCTTATTAATGATGTTTGACACTGAATCAGAATCGATTAGTTCCAGATGATTTACAAGAAAACACGAAAAAAAAACAGCAACAAAATAAAATTACTTTTCTGTTTAGACGTGTAGCTATGGAACTGCAAAATATGTCGTTGATTTCATATTTCTACAGAAATGTTTTTTATTTTGTGTCATCAATATGATAATTGTGTAGATCTAATAAAGTTCTTTGATATTTTCGAACGATATATAATTTCTTTTAAATAAAATATAGTCTGATTATATTTCTATATTAACTTAAAAACAAATAAAAGTATCTATTTGAATTATAAATAGACAGAAAACTAGTTATGTGAAATAGGAAAATAACACGTTCAAATAAGCTCAGCACTTCCCATTTGTAAATGTTTATGTGATACTTCTAATTCAACTGCATCAGTTAACATAATAAACGATTCGTATTCATTAAAAATGCTTAGTTGTCTGATGCTTTTACTTGCACGAGTTATTCTTACTAAACTTCTCTGCCTATCTATTCAATTTCATATATCTAACTAATGTTCATTGTAGTTTTAAATTGATTTATACACATTTTGTTTGTCGAAATTTCTTTACAAAACGAAAAGTTTTATTGTCTTTCAACACGCTATCCATAGTCTATTACATAGTTTTGATCTTTTTTTTTCATTTTATCAATTCAACAGATAGATAATGAATTTTAAAGTGACGATAAAGTAATCGATCACTATTATATATTTCTTTGTAAATTTTCGGATTATTGTCGATTAGTTCTTCTTCAATCAAAATTATGAGTATCAAATGAATATTGCAATACTGTTACCACAATTACGAGTAGAAACATAATCTTTATTGAACCCAAAAAATTGATCCACTTGCTCAATTTATTTTTATTTAATGCTCGAACAACAGATTATCATCAATGTGTTGGTTATCTGTTAGCAAATACTCGTATAAGACTTGATGATTGTAATGTTTTTATAATTCTATTTTTTAGGTTGAAAGTTTTCTTATCGTGTTTATACAAAACAATCACAATATATTAATTTCATCGGAATACCGACTACCACGTGTCAAATTAGAAAAAAATTTTTTTTCAATAATATGATCTTTGTAACAGTGTAAAACTGGACTGAACTAATTGTTATAACTAGCAAAAAGTATTATACGTATTTAAATATGGTTTCATATGAAATCATAATCAATTAATATAGATGAATATCTCGTGAGCATTAAAGGTGTGGACAAAATCTACGTCAACTATATGATGATATATTTGCACGATAAAATAAGATCCTTATAATACTAGATAACGCATAAAAAATATATCTTGAATTTTATCTAACTTAAGAAAAAGTGTATTATCTTATAAAAAGCTGAGTATCTTGAAAACGAAGATTAATTTCTATTTGATAACCGAAAGTATTAAATATTTTTGATCTTATATAATTCATATTGATGATATATTTATCTTCTTCTATAAAGACACATATTGGGAAAAGTAGGATTGTAGTAACTAAACAGAATCAATTACAGTGGAATTTTTTAGTTATCGACATGAATAAGAAGAAAAGAATTGAACGCTTGTCTATATAGTCGATAGAAATGCTCAATCCTTCGACATAGAGATTCCTGAAAAGGTAAAAATATGACTAATATTGAAGTATCCATTAAATACTTTGTTAGTTTGCTAGTAAATAAAAAAAATGTTCCATTTAAATCAGAGAAGAACTTGCTTTTTTGAAGCAATATGCAATTCTTATCTACTCTTCATTAGTCTATATCTATCAATCTTTTTTTTTATATATTCTTACCTGTTGATGGTGTTGGTACTGGTAATCGTGATGGCTAGAAGTAAAAAAACAGAATCATGCGTATTGATAAATGTGCCATCAATCCCAATCATTACTTGTGGTACCAGTTCAATTAGAGAAAATTGTGGTTGAATTTCTTTAAGTTGTACCATATAAAGATCTTTACCTTGGCTGAGGCATGCCACAACTTTAAATTGTCTTGCAGCTGGAAGAAGAATTTCATCTTCAGCTTGAAAAAAAGAATATTTTCGAATATCTTTGCCACTATCGCATTCGATTGTAAATAGAGTTCTTGGACCTGTCGTACCCAAAAATTGTTCATTTTGGAGTACACTGAATTTCGATGTACAAGAGCTGAATCCCCACCAAACAAATGTTTTTCCTTCGGGATATTCTTTTCTCATGTCTTGTTTGACACCACGATAAACAAATGAAAGGCTGGATGGGATTTTAGCCAGCGCAGTAAGAATTAATTTAAGAAAAAGAAACCAAGGTTTCAATTTTTGGCGCTTTTCATTTCGTAAAGTTTTATTTAAAACATGATAAAGACACTCGACTTGAGGCTCCCATTCCATTGAGTAGAGAGTAATCGAGGCTGCTTCGTCCATGGATAGTTTTCCGGGTGAACGCTCTGCACATTTCCTTTTCGCAAAGGAGGCTCTTCGTCGCACATCAGGTACATATTCAACAATGGGTTCTACAGCCTCTTCTAGTGTAACAAGAGGCATTTTCTCATAGCCTTCTATAGGCATCAACATTCGACAAGGTTCTCCCACTAGATCCGAAAAACGTTGCGTAGGGTGTTGTTGACCGATATCGACAAATTTTGCAGCCATTAGTTTTTTTAAATTTATTATTTAAAATTGTGAATAAATTGATCGGTAGAATTTTTTTGATTGAAAACTAAGAAAAAAAGCGAATGATATTAGATTTTCCCTCATAATCAGAAATGCAAGCATCTATCGAACGGTAACATTTGTTTTTAATGAGACCCATTGAACAAAAATTTGAGTTGATTATGCGCCTAGGTGTCAATCTACGGCTTTGCTGAGTTCAACACTCCCCTCCCCAAATTTACTCACCACAGTGAAATGTTGGAAACCAAAGTGTCCTTGAAGGTTGCAATGTATTATTGAAAACAAAAATTTCAGTTACTTCTGTCGTGCACTTGTTCTTTTTTACATGACTTGCTTACATTTTGCAATCTGACAACACTTTCTGATCTGGTTTTTCGCCTTTNCTTTTCGCAAAGGAGGCTCTTCGTCGCACATCAGGTACATATTCAAAAATGGGTTCTACAGCCTCTTCTAGTGTAACAAGAGGCATTTTCTCATAGCCTTCTATAGGCATCAACATTCGGCAAGGTTCTCCCACTAGATCCGAAAAACGTTGCGTAGGGTGTTGTTGACCGATATCGACAAATTTTGCAGCCATTCGTTTTTTTAAATTTATTATTTAAAATTGTGAATAAATTGATCGGTAGAATTTCTGATTGAAAACTAAGAAAAAAAAGCGAATGATATTAGCTTTTCCCTCATAATCAGAAATGCAAGCATCTATCGAACGGTAACATTTGTTTTTAATGAGACCCATTGAACAAAAATTTGAGTTGATTATGCGCCTAGGTGTCAATCTACGGTTTTGCTGAGTTCAACACTCCCCTCCCCAAATTTACTCACCACAGTGAAATGTTGGAAACCAAAGTGTCCTTGAAGATTGCAATGTATTATTGAAAACAAAAATTTCAGTTACTTCTGTCGTGCACTTGTTCTTTTTTACATGACTTGCTTACATTTTGCAATCTGGCAACACTTTCTGATCTGGTTTTTCGCCTTTTTCTTTCTCCAAGTTGATTTTAAATATGAGTGCTAGAAAGAAGGACTATACATAGCAACAATGTAAACATTCACCTTTGAGTAGACGAAAAATGATGACAAAGAAAGAATTCAGTGTGCAAGGTATTCATATTAGACAGAATATGACAGATCGATAATCAACTATGCATGACACAACATGCCATTTTGTTGAACAAATTTTTTCCTTCTTTTTCTTTTTCTTTATTAAACCGAAATAACAAACAACAAAACTTCATCATTTTCTGCCTTTTCCTATGCAACAAAACATTTGCTTCTGATCACCAAACAAAGTGAACACCGCAGGTGGCTAGAAAGAATGAAAACAAAAGCAGCTTGGAACGAATAATTAAATGCAGAATATTCATTTTCATTTGTGTTTTTGTATCTTGGATAGATTTTCTTTGTCCCCAAAGGATAAATCGTTTGAACCAAAACCTGGCCTCCGATTGCAGTCTTTTAAAAATATAGGATTTTCGATAAGAAATGACAAAAAGAGGACGTTTTATGCACCGTTTTTGTTCAATTGTTTTGGTATTTTTTAACTGCTCTGCTTGAAAATCATTTTAATGAAGCTGTTATAAACAGTTCAACCGTATCAAATATCCTGATGTAATTTTTTCTACTGAAATAAGTCGCTAATTCGAGGATCATTATAAAAGCTTTTCACAAATCGATAAATAACAATAAAGTAGATCATAAGCTTTGAAAAAACAAATACTATTTCTTATAATAAAATGAGACGTTTCAGATAACGGACATGAGTTCCCAAAATATGTCAACCTAATTTTATTGTTCTGATAATCAGCATTCATCGCTTATTATTTTCCACAAGTTTATTTTGTATTTTATCATAACTCAATTTTTTCTGGTAATAGATAAGTGTAAATGAAAATGCATGTACATAGGATGGTGCAAAGTTCACGGTCTTTCAGAATGTGTCGTTACTTTTTAAAGAATATGTTCTTTCGGATATATCTATATACAGCTTTTATATCTAACTAAAACTTCACAAAAATAGCCCAAAACTGGTACATGATCACTTTGTGAATGTTTTTTTTTCTTTTGAACTATTTTGTATTTTGTACTTAGTATTAGACAAGTTCTCAGTCAACTCACTAAATAGGCGAAAGGAAAAATACTGTTTAAACCAAATGTCACTATGATACAAGGATTTGCCCAAAACACATGACTATACACATTAAAAGTTCTTTTTTCATCTAAGGACAATAGCAAAATGAAGAGATTTTTCGAAATTTTCTATTTTTTTCGATAAAATATAGGAATTATAGGAAATATAGGTCGAATAGCAACCCAGACGAAAACTGATAAAGCGTCCATAGAACCAATGCAATAGCAATTGTAGTCCAAACAAGAACAATATGAAATGGTAAATGGTTTTGTAACACTTTGCCAATCAAATTTAAGTACAATTAACACTTCTGTTATAACCCATGATTGACGACCAAATCGTTTATATGCTCAATTATCTAAATATTCGAATATTTCACGCCTTGAAACACCGCCAGCAAGTAAGAAAAATAATAATCGTGAGAGACAAAGGAAATGTGGTGGTGGAATTCAGAGAATAAATTTAAAATAGAATGTTTTCAATTCGACAAGAAATAAGAAACATGTTATAAGTAACAGTGCAAGCCATCGTTTTAATGATGCTGCTGGACGCCAATCATGAGGCGTAAATTGACCAAAATACACGCATCATTTTACCTCTTTTAAAATTAATTTCGTTTTATATTTAACGTAACACGAGTTTTAGTTTTTACCTAACAGTTGGGATAGTCCACATTCCACGCCAATTGTATGGTTTCATTTTTAAATATTCGCATGCTTTCATACTCAAATATATTCCACCACCGTTGCATATAAGTGCATCAAGGATCCACTAAAAGAACACTTAAATCACATAGGTATAAATACGATTTTTAATGACTTACATGATTCCAGCAACATTCACTAAAATTTGGTAATTGATGTTCGAGAGAATATTCGAGAATTTCAAAACCAATGGATGTTACCGTGCAAAGTCAATAATCACGAACAATTAATGTCTAAACATAAAAGTGTTATTTAAATAATAAATCATCAGAAAAAAATGAAAATGCTTTACTTTTAACCACGAGCCAAAAAATATGCGATAGAACAAAAAAAAATCCATTCTATCCTATCGACAAAAAGAAAAGAAAAGAAAATATAACGATTAAAAAAACGTATTTTAGGTTTTGTTTTTACTTTAAAATAATGAAATGGATCTTCTGGATGTTCCCAATCATAAATACGACATGATCCACCATAATCTTTATCGGGTAATGGTATACGTAATGTTGGATCGATATTTTTTAATAATTATCTAGCATCATCAATCGTCTAAATATATAATTTAATTCGTGGAAATATATTTTACATGTTTCTACATACTTGAAAGAGAATATAGATCAGTATAATTTCATGGAGTACACTGAAGCAAAGTACAAGACGCCAAAGAGTTAAAATAAAAAGTAATTCAATTTAATAACAAGATTTTTTTCTAAAGATGAACAAACGCATTTGCCAGGATGAGGTCGAACACAAGCACCGTCAGGTGTTTGGGTCATACCAAAGACCAGAAAAAATCCAGCACATACTAAGAGACCTCTGAAAGTAGAAAAAAAACGATCAGTCTTCATGGACATCGTTAATATGCTTGTATTCTCTAAATCGTGATTTATATCCAGTTGTTAGCTCGTCGTGTTCGAGCGTTACGTTTATTTTATATCTCCCCTTTTTGTTTAACACACACATACGTATATATATGGATAGAAAAGAAGAAAGAGAAGAGAAGGGAGAGAATAACAATGATAAAGAGGGAGAAAGTAGGAGAGATAGATTCACTATTATAGAAGTGAAGTCGAGGGGCCAGTGGTATTCACCACCGTTAACATTCTTCCCCTCCAGGATAGGTGTGTGTCCTCACACACAAGTAACCCTAGTTGTAGTTTTACTTGTGGTGCTTGAATTCGATTAAGATGTCGAAGATGTCGAAGATGTTGAAGATGTTGAAGATGTTGAAGTCGTTGACGATGTCGAAGATGTTGAAGATGTTGAAGTCGTCGAAGATGTTGAAGTCGTTGATCAATAATATATGTTATTTGTTGTGTTTCATTATCAATAATTAATGTTCCTAATTTTTAAATTATGCTTGATATGTTGAACCGTATTGTTGAACGAAAAACTTTAACTTCCAGTATAAATTGTGTTGATAATTGTTGCATTGAATACATGAATTAATACATCTAATCAGTAACTTGATAGTAGTTTGTACAATATTCAATGTTATTCGACTTGTATCAGATAATCACGTCGAATTGAATAAAATGATCACGGTAGTCTTTAAGATGAATGTGTAGATATTACGAATGATTTGATTAAGAATGATTTGATTAAGACTTGATTCCATGTTACGATTGACTAATCAAGTTGAGATCTGATGACGAGAATTACTTGATTTGATCACATAAGACGTTTATCATATTTTAAGCCAAGATGTCATTCAGTACTATTGTTCGTCTTGAATCAACTAGATATATTTTTATAAGCGAACAAATAACATCCAGATTATAGTCATTGTTTATTTAATTCCTATTGGAAAGTAATTTCATTATTTAATATAAGATGGATGACCAATAAAGATGAGTTTCAAAAGGACATGATAATCTTTTCTTTTTCCAAGTTTAATAATCTTTGTCATAAAACTAAATTGTCGCTCTCAATGTGTTAATGTTGGGTTTGTGATAATGATGAATGTTATTGGTGATAATTTGGATTAAGTTTTCGATCTAAATAAATTTCACATGTAATTATATTATGTAACTCTTGACCTGCGTCGTTCTTTCGTGTTCTATTAATGTTGTATTTGTTTGTTTTACGGATTGTCGTTGTTTATCATCGTTGATGTCGTTGTTTATCAGTGTTGATGTCGTTGTTTATCAGTGTTGATGTCGTTGTTCATTTGTTTACTGTTGTTGTTCGTTGTGAATTCTTTTGTTTTTTGTTTTTGTTTTTGTTTTTGTTTTTTTTATTTTAATTTAATTTTTTTTTTCTTACCCCCAACGTTGTTTGTATTGTTCACGTGAAAAATAATTTATTTTGATTTTGTTTCGAGCTTTTTCTTCTTCTTCTTTGGATTTGAACCCGATCAGAACTTCACCTTTTTCTTTATTTATTGTTATTTGATGACTTGTGTGTATGTCGTCATCAGCTAATTGTGATCGGATTTTCCGATAATCATAGCGATAATAGATTGGTCTTTTAATTTTTCGTTGAAAAGTAGGTCGATGTTTTTGTTTCCATTTGAGTTTTTGGTTTTTTCGTCGTTGTCGTTCATTCTTGGTTAATGTTGATGTTGCTGATGTATTCGGTGGTTGTTGTTGGATTGAAATTAATTCATTGATTTCATTTTCTGTTGTTGTTATAATTAATTCGGCTGGTGAATCATTCGGTTGATGTAAATTTTCTTCTTTTTTCTTGTCAAATCTTGGTTTAATTAATTCGATTTCATCTTCACTTATGTTTGATAAATAATCTTCCAAATCGATTAATATGTTTCTTGATGCTGTTGTTGTCGTTGTCGTTGTTGTTGTAATTGTTTTTGTTGTTGTATGTTGTGATATGTCATGTATTTGGTGCTGGTTTGTTGTTTCTGGGTACATGCATAAGAATAATTCTGCGACTGCAATACAATCATCTGCAGCGTATTGTTTCATTTTTATGCGTTGTTGCTGTTCGATGTGTTTGTTGTATTGTGGTCGACTAAACAATTTATTCTTCCAGGTATCTAACTGCAAATCAATACCACATTGCCAAGAGTTGATTGTTTGCGATTTGTCCAAAAATTTATTAAATGTTGTTGCTATTGCATCTTGCAATGACCAGGTTGCATTGTAATCGTAATGAGTTATGTGGTCACATTTATATTGTACATAATCATTTAATTTTCCATCGTCCATATCATCATCACTATCATCACCAGACATATCAACCATAT